CCAAATAACAATCAATTTACCATGTTTGTTGAAGTACCAATGCGGCAGCATTCTTACGTTGATTGGTAAGTTTTGAATCAGCCATAAAATTATTAACGTGTTTTTCGGCTCGACTTAATTCTAATTTTCGTGATATAACAGCAATTAAAGCTGATGATACTCCAGCACCCTATATCATATCAAAGGTCAAAAGGTTAAGGAAGTAATGAAGTGAAAGAGTTAAGTCTCTGTCTTGATACAATCACAAAATTATCATATCAAATTTGATTCAAATTTTAATCGGTATCATTTCATTATGATAACAACGAAAAAGTTAAATAGTAACAAACTCCTGTTGAAATTTGTAAGATTTTAAATTTTAATCAGTATTATTTTATTATGATAATAACGAAAAACTTAAATACTAACAAATTCTTGTTGAAATTCGTAGGATTTTGAATTTTAATCAGTATTATTTTATTATGATAATGGCGAAAAACTTGAATACTAATAAATTCTCATTTAAATTATAGATTGCTGGATTTTCGTTAAATCTTAGGATTAGAAAAAAAGAGAAAGTCATTAGTTGTATTGCATTTGCTCAGAAGATAGTTTAGATTTGAAGTAGAATAGATTATTGAATGTACAGATTCCTATTTACTGGTGCTATCCAACTTAAAATGAAATTGGAACTGTCCAAAAGAGTAAAGCGTGCGCAATTTAGGTCAAAAGGTCAAGGGAGTAAATAAAATGAAAGAGTTAACCGATTGTGATACAACTACAAAAATATATAATATTTATAAATTAGCAAAAAAAAAGTATATAACATAGTAAGATAAGAGAATATGTTTTATTTTCCGAATATATAAATTTTTATCATAATATTACTAAAATTAAAACATACAACAATTCCAGTTGTCACTGCTAATGTTCGACCACAATATGTATTCGGTACAATGTCACCATAACCTATCAAATTTGAATAAATGTCATAATTAGAAATAAAAAAAAAGAAAAAAGGAAAATGAGAAAAAAAATTAGTAAGTAAAGGAAAATTATTAGGAATGCGCTAAATTTGCATATAAAAACATCCATAAAGCATTTCTGTAAAATATTCAAATTGTCATTAATTTAGATTATAATTGAAAATTTTTCAAAAACGTTTTTTTCTAATTTTAAAAATTTTAATTTTTTCTCATAAGAAATAAGCGAAATATTCGATAGAAGTGAATTAATTTCATAATTAATTAAGTTAATTAATTATGAAATTAATTTGCAATTTATCGCATATCTGTTATTAAATATTTATGATAAAAATACAAAAAAAATTCATCATGCAATTAAGATAATGTGAAAAACAAAAAGAAAAAACGAAAAAAAATATTTGGACTTACCAACAGACATAAATGTAACCTGAAATTGTATTCTTTTTATTTAAAAAAAAGCAAAAAAAACAAAAAAATTGGAATAAAGAATAAAATATATTATCGAAATAATTGAATAATGAAAATTAATTAAATATCCATTATCGATCCTTTTCAATTCATTTTCATTATGTTCAGCATTGGAATTATTTTAGCATTTGAATGAAATTGCAATTATTTTAAGGATTTGTTTTTTTTATTTCGAGTTAAATTCAATTCTTCTATATTAAAAATTTTCTTGTTTCATTATAATTTTGCTATCATTTTCATTTTTTCATAAAATTTTTATTAAATTAAAAATAAGAAAAAAAAAAGTAACGGAAAATTTTCTTACTATAATAAACCATAATGAATTAAGATAATAATGCTTTGCTGATAATTGTCCATCATATCTGCAAAAGAAAAGAAAAATGGATTACTTATAAAATTAAATTCCAATAAAAGAAAAAAATTGATTACTTACAAAATTGAATTCTAATAAAAAAAATTGATTACTTATAAAATTGAATTCCAATAAAAAAACTATCATTCTTATAATTTAATTTTTATCAAATAAATGTTTTCAAACAAAAAAAGGAAAAAAAAATTTGTATTAGTAAAAATTTTCATGCAAATTTAAAACAATAACAAAAAAAAAAAAAACAAACAAAATAATAAAGTTTTTTTTTTTCTTAAATTTTTCATAAAAAATAAAAAAATAAACCTACCGTTCACATTGAGTAAACATCCATGACATACAGATCCAAAATGATACAGTAAATACAACAAGCACCCTGAGTGGATGATCAGCCATCATTGTTTTAATCACAAATCGAAAATCCATTGATATTCGATTTAATGCAGCTATTGAACGTGTTGCCGCATCCTATTAAAATTTTTGCATAACTAGCCAATTTTAGTAATAAATAGCCAAATTTGAATAAATAGCCAATTTTCAATAAATAGCCAATTTTAGCTAATAGTCTGAATTTTTTCGTATTTTTTTTTTTTTTGTTTAGTCAAAACTAATAATGATCAAAATTCTTTGCTAAATACATTTACAAAATTTTTTGAACAAATTTAAATATTCCAATTATCATTATTCAAATTATATATTTTATAAATGATATTAATAATTATAATTGTAATTTATTATGAAATGAATTTAAATAATACAAAAATATTTTATTCTTTCTGGTAATTATAGCAATTATTATTATAGATCAAAGAACAATGATGATAAAACAAAAAAATAGAAACAAAATAAAATAAAACTATTTCAAGTATTTCATAATTTTTGTTTGTAAAAAATGTTATAAATGGTAAAAAAAAAAAAAAAAAACTGAAAAAAAATAAAAATAACCGGAAATTAACCTGAAATTGTTTACTATGTAAAACCATAAATCTACAAAGAAGATATGCACGAAGAAACATTGGTACTGATAGGATAACATCAACAGGTACATCAACCATTGTAGCTTTCCTACTATCCGGATGAATGTATGACCATTGCATTATTCCTGTACCTAATAAAATAAAAAAAAATTAATAAATTTAATAGAAAATTTAAAAAATTTAATAAAAAAACTTAAAAAATTTGTTGAAAAATTTAATAAATCTAATAGGTTGAAAATTTAAATTAAAAATTAAATACTATTTGATAGGTAAATAAATAAATCCAAATAATTTGATAAAATAAGCAAATAAACAATAGCTTATTGGTAAGATTAAATTATGCATTTTAGTATAATATTGTTAATCAATTTTAATGAGAATTTTGATTTTTTTTTTTGGCAAAGTACGAAACAATAACTCTTTTTTTTTTGTTTACTTTTTTAAATGCTTAATTCTTGCTATTTCGCAATCATAACAAAATCGAATCCGGATTAAAAATTTTATTTAACAAAATAAAAACAAAAAACTAAGGCAAAACTGGATCCGGATTAGGAATTTTATTTGACAAAGTAAAATAA